GCTGGGTGATGAATGCATGGGAATCTTCTGTACTAGTTTTCAACTTTTCTGCAAAACTAAATTTATTTTTAAAGAACTTTTTAAATGGCATGGAAATTATCTTTGAAAGGTGTCAAAAAAAGGAGGCATCCACAGTGCTTAATGGTTGGGCTTTGAAGAATGAAGGAGTGAGTGGGTCAAAGCCACCTTGAAGACTGTTCCTTGAGATATTGTGGTGCAGGATCCAGGATTAGGAAGCCTTTAGTGAGGAGCTGCTTGTGTAAGTGTGAGCACGGGTGTGTGAGTGTGTGTGGGGAGGTGTTGGAGAGGCAATAATCACTCTTACTTTAGACATGTGTACAGAAGCTTTCCAGGCTGCTGGATAATGGAAATATGAGGTGAGAGTAAAAAGAAGACATAAGGCTGAGAAATTAGGTTAGAAGCAAATGAGAAAATATTTAAAGACAATTGTAGAGACAAGATCCTCAAAAAAGAGGGCTTAGAAAGGTGTGAGTAGACCTCAGTGGACAACTGAACATTATGACTTTCCATATAACAACTGAAGAGAAACCAAACAATGACAGATGTGAAGTCAGACAGGGAAAGAGAATCAAGTTCATGTAGCATCAGAGGAACTAAGAAAGGAGACATCTATAAGGTCAAGCCAACCTTGACCAATGCTGTTCTCATACCAGGAAGGAAAAGGACTGAGAGAACGTCAGAGGAGTTGGTGAGTAAGAAGCAAGGGGTGATTGTTAAGACCATTTCATTAGACCAAAGTACACAGAGGATGGATACCAAATAGGTTAAGAGGTGACAAGTTGGAGGTGGTGTGCTTTTAAGGTCTGAAAGCCACAAGTTTGGCCCAAACTAGATCCTCAGACTTAGAGGGAACTAGGAAATTAGATATTCTTTCATTCATTCATTGAATAAATATCTGAGTGCTCACTATGTGAGAGGAATTGAAGCAGATATATCTGGAAAGCTTTCAATCCTAGTATCGTCATCCTTTGGTATCTGAAGGGGAATAGTTTCAGGACCTCCCTCAGATACCAAAATCCATGGATGCTCAAGTCCCTAATATAAAATGGTGTAGTAACTGCATGTAACATATGCGTAGTCTCCCATATACTTTAAATCATCTCTAGATTATTTATAATACCTAATACAATGCAAATGTTATGTAAGTAGTTATTACACTGTATTGTTTAGAGAATAATGGCAAAGAAAAAAAGTCTGTACATGTCCAGTAAAGATGCAGTTTTTTTCCCCAACAATATGCTAGATGATGGTTGGTTGAATTCATGGGTATAAAACCCACAGATATGGAGGGCCAACTGTATATTCTGCACACTGCCATTCAGATTCCTCAGAAGATAGGCTAACACAGTGAGCTTTGAAATTTGTTTCTGGAAGAGACTGAGAAAAACCTGGATGACTTAGCAGTAACACGTCTTTTTAACTCAGCACTAGGAGTTTCGTTGAGATAACAATGACTTGTGAGATTCAGGATTTCAACATTTGATCCACAGTTCAATCTCCTAGGTGCAACTTGTTTTGTTCCTGGTTTTGAGGAAATCCCCTCCTTTGTTCTCCCACAGAACACAAAGTCTATGACACTATGTTTAGTCTGGCTGAACTTCCAAATTTCCCATCATGAGCATTTATGAGTAACATACTTTCTTTGAAAATCTCACTCATAAATTGCTGAGTTTAATCTTACAAATAAGAATGAACTGGTATATTAAAACAACAAAACTATGCTCTTATTTTTACAGTAGACAGTTTACAAAGAGTAAGTGTATAAGACAAAATTTATACTTGGTTTGACTAGAATAAGTACGACTTCTCATCCTGAAATGACAAAATACATAAAGAGCAAAGAATACTGATTTGCACTAGCAAAGTATATATACAGGAGCACAGCTCAAAGAAAATACCCTGTACGTTGTAGAGCCTCAATAAATGTTAAGTTAAATGTCTAGGAATGGTGACAATCCAAAGATAGTTTATCACTCAGTCTAAATTTCCCAAAGGCTTTTAACTGCTATTTTATTGTGGCTTTAAAGCTTAATAGAAAAGAGTAGGAGAGTTCATGGTAGGAGTTCACGGTGGTCTGCAGGAATTCTACCATGCTAGGAGAAATGGGAAACTCAAGAAAGTTATCAGGGAAGGATATCTCAACTCCAGTAAATTTCCAAGGATGACTCAGCAGCTTTTGGAAATCCTGGCCTATTTACCAAAATGTGATCTCAACCAAGTTACTTAGGTTACTTAACCTCTCTGATTTCATATGGTTGTTTTGATGACTTACAGTACAGTGCTAGCACTTAGTAAATGGCCAGAAAATGACCATGACTCTTCTTTTGTTAAATAGATTTGGCAGAGCTTGTTGTTTTCATTCATCTTTTGGTCTTTAGTATAAAAACCCTGAGTAATGTGTTCAGCTGAAAAAATATTACTTTTCCACCCTCAGTTATACATAGGGATGATCAATGAGATGTGTGCAGAAACCTTGGGCAGAGGGCTTCTGGGAGAGACCCTTTCCCTTGCTCTTCCCCACCCTCCTGCTTGGCAAGCTAAGAGTTAGAGCTCTAGCAGCCATCTCAGGGCCTAAGAATGGAAGACGGATGGAAGTCATGCATTGAGGCCGTGAGAGCAAAAAGACAGTGGGAAGTTGGATCCACAGTGATTCTATGGAGCCTCTATACTAGCCCTGGACTATCACCAATTTTCTTTTACATGAGGGAAAGTTCATTCCTAACTGGTTTGAGCTAATATTGTTGTGTCTCTGTTATCAAGAGCAAAAGGTAATTCCTAACTGGTACACTAAATATTGAAAATCTTCAGAATTTCCATCCACTTTCCTGTTGACCTGCCAACAAACACTTGCACAGCCATAACCAGTGTGTCTCCCTTTTAATTCGTCACTTACCTCTGTGGGAATAATCTGATCCTTCTATTTAACCTAGTATTCACTTTTTCTTTGGGGAGATGAACACCCCTCAGTTACATACAACTTTACCATTGAATACTGTCCTCTCATCTTCCCCTTCTTCTATTGATCCACACGTACACACATAGAAACATGAGCTCTGATCTAGACATGCAAGGATGTCTTGAATAGAAGATGAGAAGAAATTCGAGAACAGTTTCTGACAGTGGAACTGAAGGCTTGGACAAATTGATTTTTTTTTTTTTTATTGAGACAGTCTCACTTTGTCTCCCAGGATGGAGTGCTGTGGCGTGATCTTGGCTCACTGCCGCCTCTGCCTCCTGGGTTCAATCAATTCTTGTGGTTCAGCCTCCCGAGTAGTCAGGATTACAGGCACCCACCACCATACCTGGCTAATTTTTGTATTTTTAGTAGAGACAGGGTTTCACCATGTTGCCCAGGCTTGAACTCCTGACCACAGGTGATCCACCTGTCTTGGCCTCCCAAAGTGCTGGAGTTACAGGTGTGAGCCACCGCACCTGGCTGAACAAATAGGTTTCTAAAACAAAACAAAATAATTAAAGTGTGTGCATGAGTGAAGTATATTTTTATCAGAAGACTATGCATTCTATACTGGTTTCTCTCCACCCCTATAGTAATAGAAAAGTTAATCTCTTCTGCAGTGGAGCACTGACCTCATTCTCCATTTCAAATGTGGAGTGATAAAAAAGAAAGGAGATCAAAGATAAGGAGGCAGGAGGCCTACTGGGCAAATTACATGAAAGGGTCATTTTCTACAGCTTGGGAACACAGAACCCAAGTTGCTAACTCTCTTGCCTACTTCAGTCAGATGGGAATGAGAAAAATCACATGAACACCTGGTTTATCTTTCATTTTTCCCACTTTGATAGAAACATGGGTTTTATAATGATTTCTACACTCTAAGAACAACAACATTGTAAACACAGTAAGAAATATCAAGTGAAGGAGCTTCAGTGTCAGGGAGAAACAAGCAAGAATCCCAGGGACCATGAGGAGCAAAAGGGCACCTGTCGTCTCTAAAAGGGGCCCCTTTCCTTCACTCTAGCAACTGTTTCCATGCCAGATCTTCTAATTTTTCAAGAAAAACAGGAACTCATATTTTTGTGTGAGACCTTCTAACTTTCACTGTTGGCTCATAACCTTAAAACTCTTTGTGAGTCAAATAAAACACATTGGTTAGCCTAACTAGGGCCAACCTGCAACTGAGCCTTGGTGGAGAAGAACTAGGGAAGAGCAGCAGGGGGGGAAGCTGAGATAAAGTCAAGGATTCATTCATTCAATAGATGTCCATTCAGGTGGCCTTCATATGTACCCGGGACTGTGCTAAGCATCAAATGTGAATGAAAAACCAAGACGAGAAGTAGGAGGTGATAAGAACTTGTTAAATTTAGCAAAGAAACTTGAAAGTATGATCAGTTAGAAGGAAATTATTAAGTTTGTTGAGAGGAGGTCTCTAAAAACTCAGGTAAACAGAAGAAAAGCTACATTATTAAGAATTAAGGGTCAGGTACAGTGGCTCATGCCTGTAATCCCAGTACTTTGGGAGGCCAAGGTGGGTGGATCACTTGAGCTCAGGAGGTTGAGACCAGTATGGGCAACCTGGCGAAACCTGTCTCTATGTAAAACACAAAAATTAGCCAAGAGTGATGGCACATGCCTGTAGTCTCAGCTACCTAGGAGGCTGAGGTGGGAGGACCACTTGGGCCTGGGAGGCAGAGGTTGCAGTGAGCTGTGATTCTCTACTGCACTCCAGCCTGAATGACAGAGGGACACTCTGTCTCAAAAACCAAATATAAGAAAAGTAAAGAAAAGACAGAGAGAGAAAAAGATAGGAATGAATGCCAAGTGTGTCCAGCAGCTTCCCAGTGGGTGGTGGTCAGCCAGGCTCCCAGCACTCTCACCTGGTATGCACACCCTCGTAGAGTTGCCTTCCACGCTGAACAGGGTCGGCCTATGTAACCAACAGGAAGTTGCAGGAATAATGGAGCATAACTTCCAGGGCTAGGTCATAAAAGGCACCCTGCCTTTCATCTTGCTGTCTCAGATCACTCACCTGGGGGCAGCCAGCTTCTGTGTCACAAGGACCCTCAAGAAACCCAATGGAGGAGCTCACATGGTAAAGAACTGAGGCTTTCTGCCAACAGCCAGTGAGGAACTGAGCCCTGCTGGCAGCTGCCAAATAAGCAGACCATCTTGGAAGAAGACCCCTAGCCAGTCAAGCCTTCAGTAACTGCAGCCCCAGCTCATGCAAGAAACCAGAGTCAGAATTACTCAGCAAGGCATTCCTAAATTTCTGACCCATAGAAATTGTAAGATAATAAATGCTTGGGGTTTTTCTTTAATCCACTAAGACTATGGATAATGTATTATGAGCGGTGGATAGCTTATACTGTAAGAAAAATAGAGGCATTAGATATAAACCACCAGTCCAAAAATTTTAACAAACAGAAAAAGAAAGAGACAGCAAGCAGTAGAGTGGAATTGGAGGGAGCAGAGGTTGAAAGAGAATACTGTCATCATCGTAAAGAGCATGGGTTTTTACAAAGAACTAAAACAGATTTACAAGAAAAAAACTAACAAGCCCATTCAAAAGTGGGCAAAGGATATGAACACACTTTACAAAAGAAGACATACATGAGGCCAACAAACATATGAAAAAATGCTCATCATCACTGGTCATCAGAGAAATGCAAATCAAAACAACATTGAGATACCATCTCACACCAGTTAGAATGGTGATCATTAAAAAATCTGGAGACAACAGATGCTGGAGAGGATGTGGAGAAATAGGAACACTTTTACACTGCTGGTGGGAGTGTAAATTAGTTCAACCATTGTGGAAGACAGTGTGGCGATTCCTCAAGGACCTAGAAATAGAAATTCCATTTGACCCAGCAATCCCATTACTGGGTATATATCCAAAGGATTACAAATGGTTCTACTGTAAGGACACGTGCACACGAATGTTCACTGCAGCACTGTTTACCATAGCAAAGACCTGGAACCAACCCAAATGCCCATCGACGATAGACTGCATAGGGAAAATGTGGCACATATACACCATCGAATATTATGCAGCCATCAAAAACGATGAGTTTGGGTCCTTTGTAGGGACATGGATGAACCTGGAAACCATCATTCTCAGCAAACTGACAGAAGAGCAGAAGATCAAACGCCGCATGTTCTCACTCATAGGCGGGTGTTGAACAATGAGAACACATGGACACAGGGAGGGGAGCACTACACACTGGGGTCAGTTGGGCGGAAATAGGGGAGGGACAGTAGAGAGTGGGGAGCTGGGGAGAGATAGCAAGGGGAGAGATGCCAGTTGTAGGTGATGGGGAGGAAGGCAGCAAATCACACTGCCACGTGTGTACCTATGCAACAATCTTGCATGTTCTTCACATGTACCCCAAAACCTAAAATGCAATAAAATAAATAAATGGGGAAAAAAAAAAAAGAATGAAATGAATGAATGAGACCTAGTATTTGATAGCACAATAGAGTGACTATAGTCAAAATAATGTAATTGTACATTTAAAAATAACTAAAAGAGTATAACTGGATTGTTTGTAAACAAAACTAAATGCTTGAGGGGATGGATACCTCATTTTCTATGATGTGCTTATTTCACATTGCATACCTGTATCAAAACATCTCATGTTCCCCATAAATATATATATCTACTGTGTACTCAAAAAAAATTTTTAATGTTGTTGTTTAAAAGTACATTTCTTAATGAAGATATATGATCACACCTTAAAAAAAAAAAAAAAAAAAGATACATCAGACATGAATTTGAAACAAGCACTGACACCTATTAACTATGTGACCTTGGGCAAACACTTAGAGTCTGTAAGCATCAGTGTCTTCTTTTGTCTGTGTTCTCAAAATAATAGTACCTACTTCACACAGTTATTATAGATCAAAAGACAAATGCACAGGAAATATCTACTTGGCACATAGCAGACAGTAGACAGGTATAAGTTATTAGTGATCACTTCATTGAAGGTAAACATGACCCTCTGCTAACCTGCACTGCCTGACTTTGCAGGGAACAGAGTACCATTTCAACGTTTATTGTTTTTTTTTTTTTCTTTTCTTGTTTTTTTTTTTTTTTTGAATTCTGAGATGTATCAGAAACATGATTTACTTTATTTAGCTAGATAAACTTAAGTTCTGTGTATCCAAAACATTCCAAGGAGAACAGAAGCAAATAAATCTGAAGAAAAAGTATTTGAATAGAAATAAATGTTGTTTCAAAAAAATTTCTCCTTTTCTTGTCTTTTAGAGCAACGTAGGCACCATGCTTAGTACATACACAAAACCTCCCACATCATCTACTGACAGATGGTTCATATCAGTTCCATGTTTATTACTTTGAAGAGAGTAAATTTTTTCAACAAGAGCTACTATGCACTTAAAGTGTATTCTCAAAGTCTCCAAGACTTAGTGTTCATATTTATAGTAGTAATTCATTTAAAAACAAAAATAATTAAAATAAAAACATTAAAAATATTTAAAGCAAAGTAAAATGAACTCAGTGGTATAATTTTTTCTTTTTTATCTTTTTCCTTTTTATTTAATTATTTATTATTATTTTTTGAGACAGAGTTCTCTGTAGCCAGGCTGGAATGCAGTGGCATGACCTCAGCTCATTGCAACCTCTAACTCCCTGGTTCAAGCGATTCTTTTGCTTTGGCCTCCCGAGTACCTGGGATCACAGGCACACACCACCATGCCCAGCCAAATTTTGTATTTTTAGTAAAGATGGGGTTCCACCATGTTGTCCAGGTTGGTCTTGATCTCCTGACCTTGTGAGACACCTGCCTTGGCTTCTGAAAGTCCTGAGATTATAGACATGAGTCATAATCTTTGCTTGGTCAGTAACAAGTCAGCACCAGCAAGGGTTAGTTTGTTCTTTCCAAAGACTGACAAGGTTTATGCCCTGGTTGTCAGACATGTATGTTTTCTAAGTGTGGATGTGGGTAGCATTTGAAATGTGCCTCCTATTTGCTGTTTCCTCTCCTGGTAATCAACTTACTCTTATAATAAAATGCGCAACTCCCTTCAGAGTGGTTCAACAATCAGATCAACCTCCCCCAACTAGTTAATACAAAAGACTGGCCTAAACCCTGATATCTTGTCCCCAAATTAATTGGGGATGTTTTCTTTTTCTTTTTTATTTTTACTATAGTTGACTATCTTAATAGCTTTCTTAATTGGGTCACCAAGTCGGTCCTCTTTTCCCTTCTAATCATCCTGGTCTTTCATAATATTCCTTTACTCAAGAACCTGTACTGGCTCCCTTTTGTCACCCTCATCAATCCCAGACACTATTATCCACCTTTCTGCCCCGCTCTTATACAATTAACTGTTTTTCTAAATATTCCTAAAAACTGACCTTCTCATCAAGCAAGATTGCTATCCTTAGGCAATTAAATCTCCTGAAAGAGACCATGCCAATGTACCCTGGTCTGTGCACTTCCCGCCTGCTGAATGCCCTCTCCTTTCTCCCCTGTTTTTGAAACCTTTGTAATCCCTCTGATGAAATTCCACCTCCTCCATGAAATCTTCAACTCTTCCAGTCTCCTTGGCTTTCAACTATGCTTGGACTCCCATCACACATGTAATTAATACTTTTTACTCCACAATCCATTGTGTTTTATTGTCTATTGTGCCAGATATCTTCTGTATTCCCCTCTAAATCCACTCTTCAGCCTTCTCGCCCTGTTCTGTGCCCCTGGAGGCTGACTTATTCCATATACTGCAGTGATTCTCAAAGTGTTACCCCAAACTGCAGTGTCAGAATCACCTGAGAACTTGTTAGAAATGCAAATTATCCTTGGGTCCCCATACAGAGCTGCAGAATCAGACTCTGGGGATAGGCCCCAGCAGTCTATGGCACAGCAGGCCCTCTAGGTGTTTCTCAGGCATGCTCAAGTTTGAGAACAACTAGTCAGTATCCACAGGCTCTTCTGTCTTCTGGCTTTGTGGTTGAGTCTGACCTATGTGTAGCCCTGGCAGGAGATAGAATGGGGAAAAAAATGGGACATTGGAACTGTTCCTTGTGGTTCTCCTACCCCTAGAAAAGACCTTTGTTTTTTGTTTTTGCTTTGTTTTGTTTTTGGAAAACACCTTTGAAAAAGTCACTTTTGAGTATGTCATCTATTTCCTATTGGTACCATGACTGGTATACAAGCCATATTTATTATGAACTTAAATGATATTACTCAGTTATATTCTTGTGTCCCCTCTCTGCTTCTCTCCAATCTATAAAGGTGTTGAGGAATCCACGCAGGGATTTTTTTCTTAATTGATTCTTCAAAAATCTAGATCTCTTAGGTGGAGTGGTAGACAAAAATAATGCCCCCCATCCAAAGATGTTTATGTCCAAATCCTCAAAATCTATAAATATGTCACCTTATATGGCAAAGAAAGGACCTTGCTGATGTCATTAAGTTATGGATGGGGATATTGGGAGATTTTTTACATTATGAGAGGAGAGGGCTAATCTAATTACAAGGGTCCTTATAAAAGAGAGGCAGGAGGGTCTTAGTAAAGCAGATGTGACAAAGAAAGGGAGAAGAGGAAGAGAGATTTAGGTTGCTACCTGCTAGCTTTGAAGATAATGAATGTAGGAAAAGGCAAGGAAATAGATTGTCCCCTAGAACTTCCTGAAGAAACACGGTGCTGCCAGCTGTAGCCTAGTAAGACTCATTACAGACCTCCAGCCTCCAGAACTATAAAAGAACACATTTGTGGTTTGTGAACCCCTAAGTTTGAGGTAATTTGTTGTAGGAGCAACAGAGAACTAACACGGGTGGCTTATGAAAAAATGACCTCTTGATCAAATAAATTTTGGAAATCCCATACACCCTCCTGTTAGAGCTTTTAAATGAAAACTACCATGAGAAATAGTGCACTAAAGAAACTTTTCTAACTCCTTGATCCACTGCTTCCAAAATTTTTTTTCCTGGGAAGACCTATTAATATTCCACAGGCTAATAATGGTAGTAATAATGGCAGTTAACACTTATAAAGTGCTCACTATATTGCAGACACTGTGTTACATGCTTAAATATTCTTCTACCAACCTTAAGAGTTAATTATTATTATTCTTATTTTATAAAGTGGTAAACTGAGGTTTGGAAAGTTTAAGTAATTTGATTCATGGCCATACCATTAGTAAGTAGGAGAGGTCAGAACTGAAACTTTGCTCAACTCCAACACTTCTCATATTCTCTTTTTTTTTTTTTTTGAGACAGAGTCTTGTTCTGCTGCCCCGGGCTGGAGTGCAGTGGTGTGATCTCTGCTCACTGCAACCTCTGCCTTCTAGGTT